GGAGGCCTCCCCGTGCCACCGCCGCGCTGCCCTGTCTCTTGGTCCTTCTTTGTTTCCTCGTCTCTCCCCGCCCTGTCTGTCGCGTTCACTGCTGTAGCCCTCAGCTCTCGGCACAGCCCGCCGAGCCGGGGACACTCCGAGAGCAGGTATGCGGGAGCGACCGGGAGCCTGCGCGAGCCGAGCCCTGTGCAGCCTACAGGCCAGGGAGAGGGACGGGCATCGAGCAGTGGCCACTTGGACGTGCCCCCTGCCCTCGACTTCAGGAAGAAGCGTGTCACCGGCTTCCTGAAAATCCGGGAGGTCCCTCCGACTCTCAGTCTCAGCCTCGTGCCCCGCCGTCCCCCATGACTGTCTGCCCGAAGGAGAGACCTGGTCGGGAAGAGTGCCGTGTGCCATCCCCCCAAGTCCTGGCTAACAGATCCGTGGCCCCCAGGCGCTCCGCTTGCTCGGGTACAGCTTTACGTCGGCGGGGGCCCGAACGCCTCAACTCCCAACGCCGTGCCTGTTGGTCATAACAATAACAGGTGTTGTACACGGTATTTCCAAAATGGTAGCTTGGGCTAAGTCCTTCAAAGGGTCGTCCCAGTTAAGCTTCCCAGTAATCCTATTATGCTGATACCGTGATTATCCTATTTCACATGGCAACTGTCTACTTCCTAGAGTCCTTATGAGGATTAAGTGAGATGATGCAGATGAACTATTTAGTACAGTGCCTGGCACACAATAAATGCCCAGTGAATGAGTTATTATAATGATGATAGACAAGAAAAAGTTTTCCTTGGTAGCCATAGCAATGTATACTCCCACCTGCAAAGGATAAAAGCCCAAATGCACCAGATCCTAGCTCATCAACAATACAATGGACAAATGTTGTTATATTCCAATAAAGTACTACACAGCGGTAAAAAGGACAGTCCACTGAAATGTGCAGCAACATGAATGAATCTCACAGACATAATGTTGAACCCAAGAAGCTGGACATGCTTGTGTGAGGTTTCCATTTATTTGAAGTTTAGGAAAAGGCAAAATTATGGTGACAGTGGCCAAAACAATAGTTATCTCGGGGTGAGGGGTGATGACTAGGAGAGGAACAAGGGAAACGTCTAGGCGTTAGGCATGTTTTACATCTTGATCTGAGTGGTGGTTACTTGGCTGTATACATACATAAAAGCTCATTAAGCTATACACCTATGATTTGTGCACTTCCTGAAAGTATCTTACACTTCAATAAAAAATTGTTGTTTTTCAAAAAAAGTTCAAAGCAAAGCAAGATGCAATTTTTTGCCAGCTTCCAGGGTGGAAAAGAGGCAGTAGACAGGCAGTTGCAGGGCAGAGCGCTAAGGCCTGAGATGGGAGCCTTCTGGAGGCTATGATTTCATGTGGGCAGGGGGCTATCCGACCTAGCCTTCATTGACAGGAAGGCTGCCTGGAGGAAGCAGTATCCAAGCCAGAAGGATGGCAGAGTTTTAGTAGAAGCAACAGAAAAGCTATTTCTAAGGCAGTGGAAAAGGCTGCACAACATTCTGGATCTCCGGAAGTTGCTGAGGTCCACATGTCTGGCTCACCTTTGGGCGTTTGGGTTCTTTCTGCTCTGCGCTTGCATCAGGTCCAGAGTCTCCAGCATCTGCTCAGCCTTGGGGGAGACTGGATTGCGTCAAAAGTGGTGACTCCGCTTCTCTGTGCTTTAATTTCACATCTGTAAAATGGGTGGGTTTCGGAGTGTCCCAACCTCATAAAGTTGCTGGGCGGAATCGATGTATTAATACTGTCGTGGGACCACTGACTCACTCCAGTCTCACCACCTAACTTCCTACCTCAATACCTCTACTGCATTTGCAGCAGTACCTGGCACAGAATAAGTGTTCAGCGTGTGTCCATTATGATTATGTGTCAAGAAATGTGGGGGCGTTCACTTAGTCATGCATGGTCCGGGCCCCGACCATATGTGGATGCTGGGGATATAGGGACAGGTGCCAGAATATGAAGGTTAAGGACAAGTGAGACCGCGGGAAGTTCCTCCCAAATGGGATTCCTTAAATGGGGTCCCTGGGCGGCCTTCAGGGACTTGGAAAACACCCACTGACAATGGAGGCCCACCAATGACCCGGTGCACTTTACTGGGTGCATCACTTTTATCGGCTCCTTAAAGACATCTTCACAGCAAGTTTAGGAGCCCGGCCGGAGGAGGCTGGGAAGGCGTGGGCTGGTGCTGAGAGTGGAAGCGCCAATGCTTTGCTCCCCGGCCAAGCCGGACAACTGTGGCTGCCTGGACGAGCCCGAAGAGGGGACCTTGTGCAGCGACGCAGGAGAACCCTAGAAGAGGAGCCACCTGGCTGCACCGGTGTGAGCTGCGAGGTGGGGGCCAGGCAGGCCGAACAGGACCAGACTCAAACAGCGCCTGCCGCCCAGCGCCAGGGAGCCCGCGTGTGGGAAAGCCCCGGAGGCTTGGCGCCCGTCCTCCCTCCGCCTGGGAAGTCTGCCTGCACAGGCCCTCCTGCCGGCCGGAGTGAGGGCCCGTCCTTGCGCCCCAAGGCGCGGTGGCCGCTCCGCAAGCTCACACTGCCACGTGTGGACGCCCGCGGGCAGGCCTGGCGAGCCGGCGGCTGGCGCTAGCCCTGGCCTGACCCTCGCTGACACCGAGAGGCAAGTCCGGCCACGCTTCTTTGGACAGAAGGCTGTGCCAGCGAGCAGTTTCTGGGAAAACTTACAAGGGCCCTCTGTGCTCGGCTCGGGGTGCCAGGAGCAGAGGCTAATGGGGCGACGCTTGGAGGCGGGGGGTGTGGGACGAGGTCGCGGAGGGCGCGAGTGCCGGGCAGGTCTGCAGCAACCACTTCCCCTCAGCACGGGCCAAGACACGGCGTGCCTTGTTCCGCATCTTTTCGCCCAGCGCCCGCTTCGATTCAAGCGCCCTCGCTTGGGTTTTCTGCCGGCAGGCGCGGCCGAAGGCAGCGCAGGGGCTGGGGCGAGCGTCCGCCGCTCCCTCCCCCGGGTCCGGCGCGTCCCTCCAGCACCACCCTCTGCCCGCGAATGGGGGGCCGCAGCCTACCGAGCTCCGCCTTCCTGGCCATGTGATTGGCCAAACCGGGCCAATGACGACCCTCGGGAGTTGCTAAGCTGCCTAGAAGTGGGCTGGAGCCACGAGGCCACCTTGCCACCTAAGGCGACCTCTAGGGGCATGTCTTCTGGGGAGCGGAGCCAGAGGCGCTGGGAGGAGGCGTCTCCTCCCGGGAGACCCTGCATCTAATCAAGCTCAAGCCTGGATTACTAGAAATTTTCTAGATAAAGGAGCCGATTGAGTACTTGCATGTATTTATAGCCCCTTGGGGTTGGACTTCCCCGAGCTTTGCAAGCAAGAGAGTCATGGGTGTCATGAGTGAGTCAGAGGGTGGCAACTGTCAGACTTCGTCTAGCCCTGGGTAAGCCCATCTGTGCCTACCAGTGAGCCTAGTGATCCCCCAGACCCACTTATTTAAGTGGTCTGTAAATCCACTGGCACACGGTTCTGGGGGTGGCAGGCCTGGGTTTGGGAGTGGAAACCAGAGACATTGTCTCAGTTCCCAAGGAATCCTGACTTCCCTGGCAACATCCTCAGTCATTTGCTTACGTCAGTCACGTAGGAATCCACTTATGAATCACTCTGGGAGCCTCAGGAGCCTTGTGTGCCTGCCTGGGGCCAAGCATTGGCAGGCTTGGGTGGACTGGCTTGGCCTAGCCCTCAGAAGCTCCCGGGAGCACCTGACTTACTCTGTAGGCAACTTGGACACTAACTGAGCAGGACACGTACAAAACACCACTGGACAGCGGTTGCAAAATAATGCTGGCAGCCCACATGGTATTAGCAAAAATCTGAAAGCCTGTATACATTGGGGTTTGTGGCTCATTGAACAATAGGATGATTTGGCAAAGTCGAGTCCTCATCCGTGCAGAGCATCAGCAGGGGCTGCCCCCTTGGAGGGGACAGCTTCACCCTATGTCTTTACTCGCTTGAATATCAACCTGGCCAAGGTAGTTGTCTGACCTAGGAATTCAGAGCTGATTCAGAGCCTGTGAAGTGGGGTCTCAGATGAAGGAGGATTCGGATTAAATACGCGGGGCTGGGCTCGGTGGTTCAGCCTGTCATCCCAGCACATTGGGAGGCCGAGGCGAGTGGATTGCTTGAGCCCACAGGTTCGAGACCCGCCTGGGCAACTTGGCGAGACCTCGTCTCTACAATAAATAGATAAATTAGCCAGGTGTGGTAGCACATGCCTGTAGTTCTGGCTGATTGGAAGGCCGAGGTGGAAGGATCACCAGAGCCCAGCGGGTCAACGCTGGGGTGGCCGTGAGCGTGCCACTGCTCTCCAGCCTGGGCAACAGAGTGAGACTCCAACTCCAAAAAAAAATGGATTAAGCTGGGCTTGGTGGCTCAGCCTGTAATCCCGCGACTTTGGGAGGCTGAGGTGAGTGGATGGCCTGAGCCCGCGGGTTCGAGACCCGCCTGGGCAGCGAGACCTCACCTCTACAATAAAATCAAAAAATCAGCTGGGCGTGGTAGCCCATGCCTGTAATTCCCGGCTACTTGGAAAG